ATGGCAATGAAATGATATACGATGGAATGAATGTAAAACTAAAGTTCTCTCATGTAAACTATCATATAATTCACAATAAAACAATGAATGTAAAACTAAAGTTCTCTCATGTAAACTATCATATAATTCACAATAAAACACTTAAAAATGTATTATAGTAGGCATTTAGTATGACTCAGTATTCAACTTTGATTGATACTCTAAAATATTAAATATCCTTGTTAATCTGGTTTAAAGAACATTTATATCTAAAGTCAAAATTAAGTTTTCTGTTAACACAGGTTAAAAAAAAAAAAAAAAGACTAATTAAGTCAGACCACAGTAACATGGGTCCTAATCCTTTCTAAGTTGTTAAGTGACATTCAATGGGTTCCAACTCACAGCAACCCCTGTATAGGGTTTCCAAGGAGTGGCTGGTGAGTTTGAACCACTGACCTGGATGTTGAGTGCTTATCCTACAGCACCACACTAGGAATCCTTTCTGAGAGGTGTTTTATGAAAGAAAAGGCAGAAAAGGACACCCACAGAAGGTGTCTATAAGCCGAAGCAGGCCAAGAAATGCCCAGGGCTACAGACGTTGAAAGAGCTGGCCTTCAAACCACTTCATTCTGCTTTGGCCTCCTCTAGAGACTTTGGCTTTTGACCCCAGTTATGGAGTCCTGGTGTCCTTGTGTGGTGCTGTGGGTAAATGTGCCAGATACAAAGATGTTTGACCCACAAGGTCGGCGGTTCAAGCTCACCAGCTGCTCCTTGGAAACCCTATACAGGGTCACTATGAGTCAGAACTGACTTAACGGCACTCAACAACAACATGGAGTCCTGGTACGGTGCTGTGAGTGTATGCACTGAACTGCAAGGTCAGTTTGAACCACAAAGGCTGCTGTTCAAAGTCACCAGTTGCTTCTTGGAAACCCTACACAGGGTTGCTATGAGTTTGAACCGACTTGACAGCACTCAACAACAACAACATGGAGTCTTGGTGTGACACTGTGGGATAAAGCACTGGACTACAAGGTCAATTTGAACCACAAGGTCTGCTGTTCAAAGTCACCAGTTGCTCCTGGGAAACCCCTAGACAGGTTGGCTGTGACACTTAAGACAACAACATACTGACTCAGAAAGTACAGTGTAACAAAATCCCCAGGTGATTGATGTCAAGGGGAGTGTATACATAAGAGTCACCTGGGACTCTCTAAGAACACCTGTGGGAGAGCCAAGGAAGGCTTTCCTCCTGGAGTCCCAGGCTCAGGCTCGTTCTTCTAGCCCCTTGAACTGTGAGAAAATCAGTTTCTGTTCTTTAAAGCTACCCACTTTGTGGTGTTTTGTTACTACTACAAGCCTATGAAACTAAGACACCAGCTCTTCACTATTACAGAAAACGTGGATGAGTGGAAAGGATATATTTATCAAGGTGACGTGAATAGCAGAGGTGAAGTGAGATTTTTAAATGAATGTCATCGACTTTTGTCTGGACTCCAAAGGGCCACACAGTCAGGGAACACACACCTGGGTTTGTTAAGCATTTGAGGTCCTGTTTCAAAACAAGCAAGTGGCAGGTTATGGGCTAATACTAGAACATAGCAGTGTAACCCAGGAAAGGCCAAAGGGGTGTCCCTAGCCTCCTGGTGGTGCCTGGCATAGCACCTGACCCTCACAGAGGCAGAGTGGACATGTCCATGCCACAAGCTGGATCAAACAGTGTTCCGCACAGCCAGTAACATTTCAGTGTTAAATGTCATTTATTTTGCATCTTCAAAATTGGTTGTCCACATACTACATGTTGTAGTTCCTTACTAACTCTGAGAATATCCAAGAAGTCCATGTGCTCCTACTTCCTAAATGTTCTACACAAATGACAACGCATTGCATTCAACAAATTAAATCTTATCAATTAAAAAACTAACACCATGTTGCCATTCTAAGATCATCAAGGGAAAATGCTTTTACTTTTGGATCTTAACGATCTAATATGATTCTAATGTGTTTAAATAAAGCAGATGGTGTCATGAGTAAAATTCTAGATGAAAACACTCAGATTCTTCACCCATTTCCTTGTTAATCCATTTCCTGACTTAAATAGTCAACCTCTTCTCTAGTTTCTCATCTGTGTAATGGGTGCCAGGCCCATGGTAGGATTATATTTTAAAACAGAACAAAACACATCTGTGATATCTGTGAAATACTTGGAAAAATATAAGAAACAGAGATATAGGTATATGATTTCTACTTGTGAAGATGTTCATATTAATAGAGTACCTTTTGAGTCACAGGGGCATCAATAAAAACAAAATGCTGGTAAGGTAGAAGAAAAGTTTCCTACCATCTCTTAAAAATATATTCATCTACTTAAAAATATTAGCAAAATATTTATATAAGACAGTACTATTTTTAAAAGAACATCAAGTTCACTGTCAAATATCTTTGCAAATGTGAAACATGACATATTTGACCAGCGTGCTGAGTGATGGATGTGGGTGGTGAACACGCCCAGGAAGAATCCCATGGAGCTGCAAGGATGTTAAGGCTGAAGAGGTCTGGGGTTAGGAGGCCATCCAGTGGTAGTGGAACTGCGCTGTGCTCACGTGGGGTTTGACAATCCTCGTGTCTGTCACATCTGGAGCTCTGGGCTCCTCTGTCTCTGTGTCCACATCTCCAATGTCTCCTCTCACCTGCTTGTGAGCATGGCTTGTCTGGGACCAACACGTGGCGGTTGACTTCCGGGGGGTGAACTAGGGCTGTGTTTTCATCATCCTTGGGGTTCATCCAAGCACTGATGCAGCATGCAGGACAGAGGGGGCTCGTAAATGCATGATGAATTACTAACTGAGCTGTCTTCACCACTACCTGAATGGGGAATGAGGTCATCACGTCAGTGTGCGGGCAGCAAAGCAGCAGTTAGTACAGGAAAACTCAGGACTCTAGTAGTGGATGGTTCCTTCAGCCCTAAGGACATGAGTCCTGTGCTTACTGGAGAGGGAGAGACTGTGCCTCAAATACAAAGACAGTGCCTCTCAGAATGCCAGCAGGTCAGGTGCAAAAAGGTACAGAGCTGAATGCCCTGCTGTAGCTATAGGCTCAGAGCTGAACTCAGGCTGCACTGACCTGTCCTCCCCAGCCATGTGAGACTTTGGGTAACATCTAGGGACAAGTACATAATATGCCTACAAGCCCTCCTGGCTGCCAAACACAGCTGTGATTTTTTTTTAATTTTCAAAACCTTTGCAAACATAACAATCTTGGCATGTCCCACAAAAGGTTTATATCAACAATAAGCCAGTGTCTGTCGACACCGACTCGTGTGCCAGAGTATAACTGTGCTCCACAGAGTTTTCAATGGCTGGCTTTTCAGAAGTAGACTGCCAGACCTTTCTTCCGAGGTGTGTGGACTTGAACAACCAGTCTTTTGGTTATAGTCAAGCATGTTACACATTCACACCACCCAGGGACTCATGAACAATGCGGCACCCTGAAATAGACACCATTGGTCCATGATGAATGGTATTCTTGCCTTATGGAAACAGGTCAGGAAAGTGTCTTCATTCACAAAGACTAGAATATTGAAATCAACGTGCTGAGCAAAGAACTGCAGTGCAGATGCAGCACGTCCTCACCAAAGGAACTGATGAGCCTGTGTGCATGTGAGGTTGGGGGCACTGGACCAGCTAACAACAATCAGAATTTATTCAACATTCAGGATGTGCCAGATACCACATAAGGGTCTTTCCTGCAATTTCTTATTTGATTCTCATAACCTCTGCATGAGGCGGGTATTGCTATCACCCACCCCCTTTTACAAATGAGGAGACAGAAGTCCTGAGAGGCTCAGGACCTTGGCTGAGATCACTCAGTGTGGAGATACCAGAGCCGGGCCCTGGAGTTCTGCTCCACCCTCGATGCACTGCCTCTGGTCTTGTGTTCCAGGGTTGCATAAACTCATTTCTAGTTGACCATTTCCACCTGGTGTGATGCTGTGGCTAAGCACACGCCCACAAGGTTGGTTTAAACCACAAGGTCGGCACTTGAAGCTCACTAGCCGCTCCTTGGAAACCCTATATAGGGTCACTATGAGTTGGAACTGACTAGACGGCAGTAAACAACAGAAACAACTGCTCCTTGTTGCTTTTTTGGGAGGGGAGGGTGCATCCCCAGTAAGAACACATAAAGTGCCAATCCACACACAAATCTCTCCTTGCCAAAGCTCACTGAGATGAGAGCTCCCTCCACCCCTTCACACCTGTCTCATTCCTCACCCTCTTTCTGTGTGGCCATCATCTCTCAATCATAGAACACCTGGTAGCTGAAGTTGTCAGACTGGATTTTGAAGTTGTATCTCCCGGTCATCCTCTGGTAGCGCATGATCAGAATGGCAGCAATGCCTGTCACCAAGGCAAACACGGCCACCACAATGAGAACCAGGTAGACCACTCCTAGTTCTGGATGTCCACCTGCAGAGTCACCTGTGGGGATGTGACAGGTACAAGGTGAGATGTCTGCCCAAACTGGGAGGAACTTGTCTCCAGTGGCTTAGACCCAGCTAGAGTGGCTGCAGTGGGATAATTGTAAGGAGGATGGAGCAGGATGCTAAACTCAGGGCCCAGAACAGAGCAAACTCTCCACAGCTGAGTGACTTCTGAGCATTAGGGTTACCACCTGGACACATGGTACCTGGGAAGTGGCAGGGGGCTCTGAGTGTGCCCATGTGGTGGAAGCCCAGGAGTGCACCTGGCCATGCCAGCTCAGCCTACCCCGTGGTTCTTCGGATAAGCATGTGGGCCAAGAGGATGTGGTCAGTGTGGGAGAAACGGCCCCTGTCCTCATGCTTCAAGGTGACAGTGGTTGCAGTCATCTCCTCTGCAGGCCAGGCAGCAGGAAGGGAGCAAAGGTGGGCACCAGGGGTTTTCTTAAGCAGGGTGCCCTGAATTTGTCACAGGACATTCCATCTGCATCTCAATGGCCAGAGTCAATGAAACAACTCACCTCACCTCACCTCATTACAGCCAGAGGTGAACCTTAGCTGCAGGGAGGCTGGGAATTAGGGCTTTTATTTCAGGTAGCTGTGTGCCAACTAAAAACTTGGGCATCTATTACTATGAGAACAGAGGAGAACAAATATTGGGAAACAACTAGTTTCTGTCTTAACACCTACAGTACAATTTCTGGAAATTCAATTTTGAGTTTTGAAAATACATGGAATGCAACTTGCCCGGTGAAAGTTATATCATTAGAGAAATCAGCTATGCCATTTTCTGCATCTTTTAATTTAGTAGAGCCTCAAATGACACCTGAGGGCCAATGGTGGCTCAGTGGTAGAATTGTCCCCTTCCGTGAAGGAGACTCAGGTTAGATTCCTAGCCAGTGTGCAGGAATCATATACAGTCACCACTCATCTGTCTATGGGAGCTTGTGTGTTGCTGTGATGTTGAACAGGTTTGGACACCCCTGGAGAACAGATCTACTCTGATACACAGATGGTTGCCATGATTCGGAGATGACCTGATGGGAAATGGAACTGGCTTTTGTAATGAGATGACGTTTTCGCGTGTATACACATGCATACAATTTGACCCTGCCTGGCTATAACTTCAATTTCTTCCTTATTCTTAATAATATGCTCAATGTATCCATCTAGTGTCCTTGAAAACGTCAACGGTTTGGGGTTATGCAGCTCACAATATTGCATAATTGAAATTGGTGCCTGACCTCTCAAAGCCTTGGCTTCTTCATCTTTAAAATGGGGGTAATAATAGATCCTACTTCACAGGTTGTGGACTCCTGGTGTGGTGCTGTAGGTAAGCGCTGGACTGCAAACCACAAGGTCTATGGTTCAACCCCACCAGCTACTCCTTGGAAACCTGATACAGGGTCACTATGAGTCAGAATCAACTCAACAGCACTTAACAACCACAGCAACACAGGTTGTGGAGAGGAGCAAGCTGCATTCTGCATGTAAAGGGTTAAGCACGATGCCTGACACTTACATAGACTCTCAATACATGCTATGCTTGTCATTTTTTATTATCATGAGTCTTTTAGGAGAATCTGAAGCATCCCGTGTTACAAAGGCTGGTTCCATCTTTTCTGTAGCTCTCTAAACCAAGCCATCAACTCACCTTCAGACCGAATCAGGGGTCCCCAGGATGTCTGATGTGTGGCAAATGCTTCACTATTTCTCAGTGCCCGGAAATCATGACAATTCTGTTAGTTTGTTTAAAAAAAAAAAAAAAGAAGAAGAAGAAAAAAAGCTCATCAGTAGACAACATCTCAGAGACACCAACTCACCATCAGGGGTGAGAATCTGATGCTAAAGTTTGATACTGCTGGGTCAGTCAAGCTGATGGATAGATTAGTGTTGATAGGGAAACAAAGACTCAGAGAGGACAGCCCATGGGTTCAGCCAGGTGGGATGACCCTTGGGCCGTGGTGGGTGGAGGAGGAGGGCTGGGCATTAGAAAGCAAAAGCGGCTGAAGAAAGCGCGGTGCACACTGAGTGAGATGTAAAAAGTCCATGGACAGATCTGCAGGTACTGGCGATGGTCTGTTTGGTACCTCTGGGAGCAATGTCTCCAAGGTTCCAGCTCTCTGAGGCTACCCAGCCATTTTCTCCTTTGAACACCCTCACCTTCCCAAAGGGCTGCCTGACTCAGAGACATTATAGAATCTGTTTACGTTCACCCTATCCCAAAGGAGCCTTGGTAGAAGTGTGTCATGCTCATGTGGTAAAGACACAAGACTTTCTGACTATAAAATTCTGTGGTCTTATTAAAATTTAACTTAGCGGGGCTGAAGACATAACAGAAGTCCCGAATGGGGCAAACAGTTAATCCACTCAGCTACTAATTGAAAGGTTGGGGGTTCGAACTCACCTCAGAAGAAAGGACAAGCAACCTGCTTGAGGAAATTCAGCCATCGAACCCTATGGAACACAGTCCTACTCTGACACAACGGGGTCACCATGAGTTGAAATCAATTTGATGGCAGCAGATTTGACTGGGGGTTTTTTGTTTGTTTGTTTGTTTGTTTTTATTTTTTGAGGACATATTTCAATTAAATTTCGTATAAAGAAAACTACAATCTCTCCTTCTCTGAGCAAGAGTTATTCATTTTGAGAAGCTAGCTAAAGGTAAATAACTTATTCTTGTGTTGTTATTAAATGCCGTCAAGTCAGTGCTAACTCATAGTGACCCTGTATAGGGTCTCCGAAAAGCAGCTGGTGGGTTTGAACTGCCACTCGTGTTGTTCATAGTCCAGTGCTGACTCACAGCGCCACACCAGAAGTTCAAATAACCAACTAGCTATTATTTAAATAGAGGGAGACTTTGCATTTTATACCTTAAAGGAGGTTGTTGTTGTGTTAAGTGCCAGTGAGTCAGTTACTCATAGCAACCCTGTATAGGGTTTCTGAGGAGCAGCAGTGCTTATCCTACAGCGCCACACCAGGACTCCTAAAGGAGGTTAGCAATTTTCAATTTTAGGAATGACACTTGTTGTTAGGTTGTTAGATGGCATGGAGTCAACTTCCCCTCCCTGTGACCTTATGTGTAACAGAATCTCTTCTCGTAATCACTGCAACATGGGAGCCCGTTGTTGCAGCCAGTGTGTCAGTCTATCTATCTCGTTTGGAGCCTTCCTCTTTTTCGCTGACCCTCCACTTTACCAAACCTGATGTCCTTTTCCAGAGGCTGGTCCTCCCTGACAACATGTCCAAAGTATGAGACAAAGTCTTGCCATCCCCACTTCTATGGAGCCATCTGGCTGTACTTCTTCCGAGCCAGAATTGTTCATTCTTCTGGATGGCAACAGGATCTTCAATATTCTTCACCAACACCATCTTCTTTCAGCTTTCCTTATTCAATGTCCAGAAGGCACAGTGGCTCCATATGCTAAGCACTGGACTGTGAACCACAAAGTCCATAGTTCAAGCCCACTAGCCACTCCATGGGAGAAAGAAAAGACTTTGTGCTTCTGCAAAGATTTAAAGCCTTGGAAACCTTATACAGAGTCACCATGAGTTGGAACCAAATCGATGGCACTTAACAACATTCATCATCCAAATTCACATGTGTATGAAATTATTGTAAATCAAGGAAACAATGAGTCCAAAGAGTCAATGAACCACGTGAACCTCAGCCTCCAGTACTCTGAGACCAGAAGAAGTAGATGGTGCCCAGCTGCCACTACAGATCACTCAGACCAGGACCACACTGGAAAGAGTGGAAGAAAAATATGGAAAAAATTCAAAATCATAAAAAAAAAACAGATTTATAGGTCTGATAGAGACTGGTGGAACCCCAAAGACTATAGCCCTTAGACTAAAGTCACCCCCAGGGTTCACCTTTCAGCCAAACAATAGCTAGGCCTATAAAATGGCCAGTAACACCCCTAAGGAATGTATTCCTCAGAACAATCAGTCATAGGAGACTACAAGGGCAGCATTTTGCCAAAAAAAGTCAGAATGCAGGAAAGGGCAGGAAAGAAGAATCAATGGAAACATTGGCAGAATGTCAAGGTTGTGGGGAGTGGAGTGTAGAAGGGTTGTTACATTCAGGGGGTTGCAACTAATGTCACAAAACAAAATATGTATACATTTTTAATAGAAAACTAATGCCCAAACCACAATAATAAAAGAAAATACCGTGGCCTTCGTCAGGCACACCTTTGTCCTTAAAGTGACATCTTTGCTTTTTAACACTTTAAAGAGATCTTTTATAACAGATATGCAGGAGTCCTGGTATGACACTATAGGATAAGTGCAAGGTTGGTTTGAACTGCAAGGTCGGTGGTTCAAACTTACCAACTGCTACCCAGACACCCTATACAGGGTCTCTATGAGTCGGAAC